AAAGTGAGGCGATAAATACTCACCAGTTATGGTTTGAATCAGCCTGGAGCAGCGACATTAATCAATCACAATAAGCCGTCGTTAGCAGCTAGCGGGGAGTGGACCCATCTCTCGACCATACAGGTACCTATTTGCCCCTCTCCCCCTCCGCATCCCTACTCCCTTCACCCCTCCTATTTCTCTCTCCTTCCCTCCCTCCTTTCTCACCCCTCCCAACCTCTCCTCACCTTTAATCAGCTCTCCTTCCTCCTCCTTAGTTATCCCTCGTAGTTTTATCTCCCTATCCTTCGACATCTTTCCCCACTCCCTTCATATCCCTCCTCATCCATCACCATCCCTCACCCAACTTTCCCCACTTCCTCTCACCAATCCTTACCCCCTTTCTCTCTCCTCCTGACTCCTCTTTATCCCGCCCCACCCCTCCACCCCTCTCTACCAATCCCCACCCCTCTTTATTTTTCCCTCAACCTTCCCCAGACTTCTCCATTCTCCTCTTACCTCTCCACTCTTCCCCTACCCTCTCCACTCCTATCCTTACCCTCCCACACCTCTCCCACCTGCTCCCTCTCCACTCCTCCCTCACCTCTCCACTCCTCCCCCACCCCACTCCTCACCACACCACCCCCCTGAGGGCAGACAGTTTCCCTTGATCTCTCCTGTCTCCCTGAATCCCAAAACCAACAGATAGAAGGACTGGGGCAGCTAAATCAAATAACCCCGTCGAGTTTGGACATTAAATTCGATAAATCTTCGCGATAAGCTGGCGGGTGACCACGGCCCCTGGACCCCCGCCAACACCCACCCTCACCCCAAATTAGTTCTTATTTACATGTCCAAGCGGGGGACCTCTGACACGCTGAAATGAACCGCTCCACGACCTTCCTGCCTTCCCTCGTCCCTACCAAGGTCTAAGCCCTGCCGTCTGCTTCCTTATCTTGTGTATTATTATTATTATTATTATTATTATTATTATTATTATTATTATTATTATTGGATCCCTGTAATCATCATCCACTCTGCCTATTCGTCAAAAGTTTAATATGACCAGTATACCCCATCTACCATTACCCACCCCTTTCTAACCTTCCCTCACCCTTTTCCACACTTCTCCACTCTTCCCCTACCTGTCCATTCCTCCCCCTCCCTGTCTACTCTTTCCGAGCATCATAAGCACAACCCTTGTTTCATAATGGTATATAATAATGTCAATCACCATCAACAATAACATTATCATCACTATTATCAACACCATCATTATCATCATCATCATCACCATCATCTTGGTTCTAGGTCACCTTCAAATCCTCACTTTCCTCCATTTCATCTAAGCGGCGTCTTCTGCTCACATCCCACATTATCATTACTACTTATCCCTCCCTCCTTCCCACCTTTCCCTCTCTCCCTCCCTTCTCCCTTCCTTTCCTCCAGCACCACCATCGTGTCTTAGACCGGCATCATCTTCCCCATCCCATTTATGACCTTCTATGATTCCTCTTTACAGTCAGGTTAATTAGCGTTACCTCTGATATCCCAGACCTCCTTCAGCGCCCTACACGGTGCATCTCTATAAAGGCGCAGCAGCATCTTCCCAGCGCCATTAAGAATCTCTCCTTACCCCATGAAAGCTTCTCGTTATGGCTAGCAAGAATATATATAATGGTCATAATGCTGTTGTGTGCCTCTTAGGTATAAGATCTGAGCTTATGACAACTACATGAATAGATAGATAAGTAAATAAGTAAATAAATAAAATGAAATACTACTACTAATAATAATAATTACAATAATAAAAAAAATAATAATGAAATACAAATAATAATAAAAGTAATAACAATAATAATTAAACATTACCTGAGCAAATAGAAACCTTGTCCGCGAACCGTTACCGTGGTAGAGTATATATCAAACTACTGTTAGTGTAAAATAATGTAGTTACCGCTAGAGACTGTGTCATGCCATCGTTTTCTTTCATCTGCCATAACACCCATGTTGTGTCAATGGGGGAACAGTTACCATAGCAACTCCTGGTCAATTTTGGTGTGATTTACATTAAAAGTTTATCATGTGGACCTTGTTACATGTTGATGAACCCTACTGTGCCAGATTTAGGGACAGACAGACAGACAGATTGACAGGCAGGCACACAGATAAACAAAACGAGACAGATTGACAGACAGACAGATAGAGTAACAGCACAAGAAGAGTTGGGTCAATCATAGTGGCATCAGACCCTTATCCCTTGAACCATTAACCACACAGTGACTCTCGCCTAAGCTACCGTACTAAACATCCTTCACCACCCGGGTCGCCTTTATAGACACATCCGTCACCATTGTGTGCGCTGTAGCCACTATCAACGTCATTCCCCCCCGATATAACTCGCCCCCCCCCCCTATCCTCATAAACGGGGCTCTTGTCAACACCTCGACCTGCACTACACACCTCCTCCGTCATTGCCAGAGAAGAGTGCGTAATGCGTCACTTGAGTACGTTATGTGTCATTGTCAGAGTGGAGTGCGTTATGCGTCATTGCCAGAGTGGAGTGCGTTATGCGTCAGGTTAGGCTAGGGTTAGAACTGTGCGTTATGCGTTAAGTCTCTATACACCTCTTAATCATTTTCTTATTTATTATTCACTTTCTACGACAGTCAAAATTCCTCAAACCCTTTCAGTAAATCTTGTAAAAATCCTCATTACAAAAGCTATTATCACGTACTTCTATATAAAAAATACAGCAAATCAATGGACAATCGTTCTGTAGCTGAAAATGGGAGCAATCAAAAGTTTCCTTGATAAAATTGGAGCTAATTAACGCCCAGGTGAGTGATGATTCATTATTAGGTCTTTTTTTGGTAGTCAGGTTAACTTTACTCCTCAACCCCTCCGCCACTCTCTCCCTTACACCATTTTTACAGGACGATAATAATAATAATAATAATAATAATAATAATAATAATAATAATAATAATAATAATAATAATAATAATAAGTTGTGTAATATTATCCCGGTAACTACTCAGCACATAATTCTATTGCTTTAATGGGGTCATAAACACCATGATAATTGATAGAGACTTTCCCTCATTTTAATAGAAATCAAGTAGAAATTAATTACTCTTTAATGTTTTAAGATCAGTGAAATACGATCATTATTTGGGTTAATTTCAGCCATTTGATAATAGCCATACTAAATCAGGCTCCACCAGTCGAACAGAGAGAAAGAGAAGAAACTAGTAAATATAAAGGTTAAAATAGAATAAGACATAAGACGGTAATAATTGTAAGTCATAAACTACAACAGTACAAAGAAGAGAAAATGTCACTAACCATTAAGTGAATAATGATGATAAAACTGTGAATAAAGAAGGAGGTGAGGAATACAATAATCGGAATACAATAATAAAACAAGAGAGGCGGCCAGCAAGAGAAGCATCTTACCTACACACTTCACACAATATTTACCCGGCCGCTTCCTCCACTTCCCTCTTGGGAGGAAAACCATTCCCATATATCCAATAAAAATGAATTTATATGTGGGGGCCATATCTGTAGCGGCACACGTGGAGGCCACTTTATTGTGATGTGTTGTGGCCAGCCTAACTTATGCCTCGCCACATATACAGAATAGATTATGGACTCCGCAGGTTTATTCAATTTGGCCATTTTAGGTGATGAAAGATATACGGTGAAACAGGTAGAGTGATACCACGCTCTCTGGCTATTGAAAGGTGCATATATATATATATATATATATATATATATATATATATATATATATATATATATATATATATATATATATATATATATATATATATATATATATATATATATATATATATATATATATATGCACTTAAAAAGATCGAGAATTTATAGTCATCTCTACGCGCAGTATTTCTTGCCCAGAAAATGTACACAAAATCGTTGTTTGAAAAATTGTAGCAACCAATAGCGTTGTGCTGCAGTGGTGGGGCTTCACATGTTATTTTTATTGCGTGTGTCGGTCGACAAATGTTTACAGGAAAAATAACATTTCTTGTTGTTCACGTGTGTATTATAAGAGCGCGTGTGTCAGTTACTCTGACCCACAAAGATTAATTTACAGGTTGTGTTCACGTCATCTCCCTCACCTATGACGGGGATACGTGTCTCCAGTACCTTATTGATGCCACCTGTCGTAGTGGTGCTGTTGTTGTTTATGTAGTTGTTGTTAATGTTACTGCAATTGTTGTCTATGCAGTTATTGGTGATGGTGTTGTCGTCTGTGTAGTCGCTGTTGTTAGTATAGCTGATGAAGTGTTGTTGTTGTTGTTGTTTTTGATGATGATGATGTTTATGTATTTGTTGGTGATGTTGCTGAGGAACTGTCCATGTCAGAGCCATTATCGTTGAAGACAATGTTATCGTTAACGTGAAGAAGCCTTTCAAAACCGTACCTCCTCCTTCTCCTCCTCCTCCTCCTCCAAATTTCAATAAATTATCATGAATCTGGGTTAAAAAAATTTTCGAGTGGGAGCGATGAACCAGGTGGGAGAATGCAGGACCGGGAGGAGAGGGGAGGCAGGACCGGGAGGAGAGGGGAGGCAGGACCGGGAGGAGAGGGGAGGCAGGACCGGGAGGAGAGGGGAGGCAGGACCGGGAGGAGGGGGAGGGAACGGGAGGAGGGAAGAAGAACGGGAGGAGGGAGGAAGGACCGGGAGGAGGGGGAGGCAGAAACGGAGGAGGGGGAGGAGAAGGAACCGGGAGGAAGGGGGTGGCAAGGCCGGGGAGGAGGGGAGGCTGGATCGAGGAGGGGGAGGGGGCACGACCGGGAGGGGGGGGGGACTCCTCTAGAACCTAATGGACCAGAATTTCTTATTTTTAAAGGGGGGGGGGGCGAGCTTAGAAGGGTAGGTATTTTTCCTCGTAAGATACACCACGAGAAAGAAAGTTGAGGAACAAGATGTACTCGTTGTGGGTGTGAAGGAAAAAATAATAGACTGAAGATATCTACAAGTATGGCGGAGATTCTCTTAAGATTAGGAAGCGACGAGGTATGAAGGAGTAGGGTAGAGTCTTGGTCTAATTCTCACGCCATTTGATTCACCATCGTTTTATATACTGTTGCTTAAATGCGTCAGTTATAGTATATCTCTTAACAATACTAGTTTGGGGTAGATTTTAAACGTACGCGTCTGTGAGAATCCAAAACCTTTGATGACTTGACACTAAACACAATCTGATACGTAGAACCCTTACTCCTCATGCATGCTCTCTCGTGGCGATATTATTGAGGACCTCAGTTTGTGTACATGACACCAAAACCTAACATCCCTGGTAATGTAAGAGGAATGTAACACCTCACCCTCCTAGTAACAGCCAGCCTGACGTTCCCTCAGTCAAGAGACCCGCCAGGGATGCCACGCCTCAGATACGAGGAATTCAGTAAACAAATCTGTCCCTTTCGGAGATTACATCGGCCAATGGGACACCTCTGAACAACCATCCCAACTGGACCTGTCAGCCGGACCTGTTTGCTGGACCTGTCACCCCGGGTCGGCCCACATCCGAGGACGAGTCCCGAGGTGTCCGTTTACCTGCGGGCTTTGTGAGCTTTGCTTATTTGAGTCGCGGATTTCTTTTGCTTGGTATTGTAAGGTACGACCGCGGCCTTTGTCGAGTAAATTGGAGCGGCGGACTTTCAGCTGTGATTATTGAAGGTATCGTATGTCGTAGGCTTATGTAAGGTGCGTGTATATATTGTGTCGCTTCTGACCATCAGCCTCTCTTGTACCATACTCTCTCCTCTCCCTGCTTTTTCTCTTTACGCACGCACCCCTCCCCACCCACCACACACACCCAGCACGCACACACATACCCCCACCCCCACACACATATCCTACCCACACATACACTCACACACACCCTTACTAATCTCCACGACTGTAGTGACACTCAATAAAAAAAACTATCATGTGTTTCAGCGATACAAAATACGGAAATCGAAATTATCCAACTAAAAACAATAGTCGACGGTTGTAACTATAATATTACAGGACCGTGATATGTTTGGCACAATAACACATGATCTTTTGTACGAGAGTTTGGTGATAAATAATACATAACAACAATTAAACCTTCGTGAACAATATAGAAATATCTGTTTTTAGGGCAACATGTTAGTAGTTCCCGCGTCAACAATGCTCACCTGAGACTCTCCAATAACTCGGTACGAATATGTTAAATCTAAATTGTGTACTTTTTATAGCGTATTTTATTTAAGGTATCAAAGAACTGGGAATGTTTGGGCAGAGTTTATATACAGGAAGCGCTAATGGATTCTTGTTTCATTGATTTATGTATTTTATTTGTTGTGTTCGCTGTTAGTTTTGTGTTGAATTGGAAGAGAGGACCTGTGTAGTGTGACAGTGGGAGACTTCCTTCAAAGGGATTGATAACACGTGTGTCCTGATCCCCCCAGCCCTGTAAACCCACTCAAAAGACCTGCCCTAAAATGGAAATACTTCATCTATTTTCACCATTGGGATAAAAATGAGGAAATTAACATCAGGCAAGAATTGGTAAATATAAATAATTTTTTGATACATGGAAAGTGAAAATAACATGGAAATAGAAGTAATCCTAATAGGGCTGAGGAGCACAATAGGGTAGTTAAGGAGACAACGTGGTCGACAAGGCACTTTACCACATACAGCAAAATAAGGTACCCAAGCTGAGTCGTCTGAGGGAGCCCCACTATGGGACTCAAACCTATGAGCGCAGGGCCCGGAGGCGAGTGATATGTCCACTCAGCCTCCGCGTCCTAACATAGGAAGTGGGACGACTTAAAAACTGACTAATCTTCCAGGTCGGATACGATTTAAACATCCACAACGTGACAACATCTCATAGTATACTAGTAGGAGAGGAAAAAATATGCATTGACAAGGAACAAGGCCACTTACGAGAACACTACTGCTACGGGACTCCCTCAACATACACCTGAGAGCTAAGACTATATGTCCCCGTACTTCCACATGACCATTTAGCTGAGTCAAGAACCACACTACCACCTAAACACTCCCCTTCAGTAGGGTTCAAGATACCGACTACAAAATACACGCTGTAGAGCTGTGTTGTATATGGCGGATTCCTTCTTCTTTCTTCCTCCATCCCTCCCTCCCTCCCTCCCTCTTCTGCCTCCCTCGCTACGCAGATGTCACCAGATGGGGAGAACAAAGCCCAACTATCCCGTCAAGAGAGTTGTCTCCGTCAGGTAGGTCATATATATGCTTATTTTATGCATATCATTTGTCTATTGTACGACTGACAGAACTCCTTTGTTTATGGTTGGTGGTGTGTGTGTGTGGGTGTGTGTGGATGATGCATTTTACGTCATTCTCACACTTCATCACGATTTAGTAACACAGCATAGCTCAATGAAGACCTCAGACGAACACTACCACTCATATCAACTAATTTATCCCCGAAATACACTATACATACTGGCAATACATGCTACCAGGTTTACCATACAAAATAACCATTACATATTATTACTGCTACTACACAGATTAGATATAACACAACTCCATATTTCGAATTAGATTTATTTAAAACTCAAAATATAACCATAGATGAATTTTATTCGCGTCGACAAAAATATTTCCAATGGATACGAAATCAACAGAAGACATTATAATTATCTACAAATATAAGACAAGGAGATGAAGGGCTCTGTACACTCTAACACACCACTCCATGACACCACCATCCCAGAGCCCAGAAATAATATTACCCAATTTACTGATTCACATTAAATAAACTTGAGACACACCTGATGATTCGCCCCCACCCCCCTAACACTACATGGGGGTTAGGTTAGGTTCTCTACTTCAACATATAATTCACCTTTCTCTTAGTCTCTTCCTCTTCCAATATATCTTTTTTACCTTCTCCCTCACCTTATCTCTCCCTTCCCTCGCTCATTCTATCATTCTCCCTTTCTTTTACCTTATATTTTCTTGCTCTTCTTTCGCTTTCTCCTTCCCTCCACTATTCCTCTCTCTCAATCCTTTATTCCTCTTCCTCTCTCTCTTCTACTTTATTTTCCCTTTACTTCCTCCATCTGTCCTGTTCTTAGGCTTTCACCTCTTCTCCCGTTTACCCTTGTCTTTTCTCGTTCCCTTCTCCATCTCCCTCCTCTTAACTTCACTCTTCTTTTCTCCTCTCTCCCTCTCTCATTCTCTTCTCTTTCAATCGTTACCATTCACTTCCCTTCTCTTTTCATTCTTTATATTCTCCCCCTAGTTGTCCTCCCCATCTCTCTCTCCCATTCTCTCCCTCGTTGTTGTCCTTTCCTCTTTCTCCCATTCCCTCTCTTCACCTTCCTCTTCCTTCCTTTCTTTTTCCCATTCGCTCTCTTCTTCTCCCTTCCTTTCTCTGTCCCATTTCCTCTCCTCCTATCCCTTCCCTTTCCATTCTTAACATTCTCTCCCTCGTTGACCCCTCTCACTCATTCCCTCTCTTCCTCTCCTTTCCTTTCTATCTCTCTCTCTCTCTCCCATTCCCTCCCTTCCCCCTTTCTCCCAACACAGGGTTATCAGGAGACCTACGTAGCAGCACACGTGGTAGACTGGGGGAAGAGCTCCGACTAATTTGCATATTCATATCCTATTTGTTTTCGACAAGTGGATGTTTCAGTTTGGCCGGGTCGAGTGTGAATAAATGAGCAGACGGTGGCAGCTAGGTTGGGAGGGGGCAGTGTGTCCTGATTTTTACCCTCCCTGGGGACATGGGAGGGAGGGAAGAAGGAAGGTGAGGGAAACTGTATGGAAGGGAGGGAGGTAAGAAGGGAGGGAGGGAGGGAGTTATGGGTGGAGGTATAGAAAAAAAAAAGAGTGAAGATGGGAAAGGGGGAAGAAGTGAGGGAGAAAGTGTCAGGGTTTTTATTTACTCTCCCTGGGAATGTGGTAGGCAGGGAAGTAAAGGGGAGAGTTATGGGAGGGAAGTGAGAGACGGAAGAGGCTTAAGTTTACATCTTTCTTGAGTTAAGTAGGGAAGTAAGGGAGGGAGGAAAGTGAGGGAGGGAGGGAAAGGGAGAGATATGTGGAAAATAAGGGGGAGCTAAAGGGAGATGGAGAGACGTGTAAGTACCGGGATTCTGCGCGTTGTAAATTTTTATTATCCCGGAGGATGTGTGAGGGGGAGAGGGTAGGGAGAGAGAGAGAGGTAGTGGAGGGAGAGGGAGGTGAGACAGAAAGAAAGATGAGGGAGGGAAATGCAGAGATAGAGAAGGAAAGGTGAAGACAAAGTAAAGACGAAAGAGATGAAGATGTACAGTACTGTGAGAGATGACGGAGGGAAGTCGCGGAAGGGAAGGAGAGAGTAGGAAAAATAGGAGGAGATAAGGAAGAGAGAGCGTGTTGAAGGAGATAATATAGTGAAGAAAAAGAAGAAAGTAAGAAAAATAAATAAAGTTGGTGGTTTTGTCACCCAAAGAATGCTTTAAAGGGGTGTAGTGGCTGAGTTGCTACAGTGCTCGCCTCTTGGCCTAAAGGTCGCTGGTTTGTACTTATGGTTACCCCAGTTCATCCAGCTGAGGAAGTGAAGGTGATCGAGTACAGTGTTGGGTAGAGTGTGTCCCTGTGTGACGAAGGTAATGTGTGGCCTGCAGTGTGCTGTATCCACATTGCCCTTACAGAACAGCCTGGACCATAAGACTAATTTTTAATGACTTGCATTTCAGTATACTTTTCTAGTTCACACACACACACACACACACATACATACATACATACATACATACATACATACATACATACATACATACATACGCACGCACGCACGCGCACGCACACACAGATGGTTGAACAAGAATATTGCCAATAAATAAATATGTTTTTCACACACGTCAGGACACAAATAGCGAGTCGATTAAAGGTCCTTTGTAGCTGCTATTTTGACGCTGACTGTATTTGTATACATAAACACACCTGTCAATTTACACATCAGGTAACAGCACTTCACAATACAGTCTACCCTTTAGTCAGGGAATCATCATACAGGTATCTGACGTGGGAACATTTTTAATATATATAAACCTGTAGCCAATGTATGATTCCTGTGAAAAATAAATAGTGGAGAAAGACACAGGGCAGACGACGCTTGGAGACTTAACTCGATGTCTCCACAGCAGAACTTCGTACCCAGAGGAAAGTGATAATGATTTGTGACGATAAACAGTGTAGGAGAGAGGGAAGGCGTGAGCAGATATTATGCAGTATGCTAATGTCTCCCTCAAGTTTAGCTACACCTGCTTACTTAATTAGAAAATATGCAAATATGAAATGTATTATCAGACGACTGAATATACTGTTGACTAGTTAAACTGCAAGTATTTGTTACTAAGTTATGGTATTATGCGATAGACCGGGGTGTGTGTGTGTGTGTGTGTGTGTGTGTGTGTGTCTGTGTATGTGTGTGTGTGTGAGTGTGCGAGTGTGTGCGTGCGTGTGTGTGTGTGTGTGTAAATAATAATAATAATAATAATAATAATAATTAACGGTTTATTGAAAGAGCTTGGCAGCCAGAAGGCTGAAAATATAC